GGTTCTTCTCTTCTGAACTGTCCACTTCCTTCTTTTTCCTCTTCTTGATTAAATTCTCGATGTTGTCGTTAGTCTTCTGAAATAAGAGCACAGCAAGCCATGGATAAATAATTATGTATTCCTACATCTTTACTAGTTTTAGTTCAACATTGGAAATGAGTATTATCCTTGACATCTCTTAGTATTATGTCACTTCTGTTTCTGACTGTGTCAAATCCACATATTTGCAGGCTTGAAAGTAACTTTCAGACACTGAATAATTAATAATACATTCTTTGCGTTATGGACATGTTATGTTAGTCTCACCTTGCCCTCCTCTCCCTCAGAGTCGGAGGCAGCTCTGAACTGCAGCGTGCCAGTGTTGATGTAAAACCCCCCCAGCTTTGTGGTCAAAGATGCAGGAACCAGCTCATCATACTGAGAGAAAAACACAGAAGTTGAAGGATAAGATCACATGAATCTAGAAAAAAACCTAGATCCTATTACAAACAAAAGCGAATGACGTGATAATGTTTCTTGTTAAGATTAAAAAAAATTAGCCCAGGCTCTTCTGTTGGTCAGTGAAAATTCATGACTTGTTGTTCACAAAAAAACCCAAAGAGAAACAAAAATCACAATCCCTCCAAGACACAGATGAAAGTATTTTCATCAGAGACTGAGAGCATATCAAAACTAAAGGATCAAAACATCAAACAGGCACTGCCAATGTATGGGTGCAGAGAGGACAGTTATCAAAACATAAAACAAATCACATTATGGCAGAGACTCGATACAAGAGCATCATTCCAGCTATTACAGTCAGACAGTGATATCCTCAGTATCATACTGAGTATTAACAAACACTGTCCAACCTCAACAATGACATATCCCTTTGAGGACACTGCCGCACGTACGTACTCATGAGTCATGAGGATGGTTTTAGACCGTAGTCACAGATTGTTTGTATGAAGGGACAAGCGGCTATCTTTAGAAGTGCCACTGAATGCACTGTATTGGAGCGACAAGCCACAAAATAAATATTTAACCACAGGGGAATAACAACAAGACCGCAAATCAGGAATGTGAGGAGGACAGCAGGTTAAATCAACAGATAATAAGGGAGAAAATAAAAACAATGTGCAATGGTGCAACTATAAAGACTTAAGAGAGACGTCAGACTAAATAAAAGTGTCATCCCCGGAAAACAAAACCGCAGGTGAAAAATCACCTCATTATTAATAAAGTGAGGAGCACTTACAGCTTCTGAGTTGTCAATAAAGGGGTCTGCGTCGTCGTAGCCAAAGCCTATATCAATCAAATCTTGCATTCTGTCCTTCTTCTTCTTCTTTTCCTCATTACCCTGAAAAATTATTAAAAAGTATAATGTTATTTTAAGTTTTAGATGACATAAAAAAAACGTTTTGTTGTTTTTAAATTGCTATTTAAGTACATAAACCCAAATCAGAAATATATACGCTGACTGAAGGGCTTGTTAAAATGATATACTTATTGGCCGGTACGTCCGAAGATCAGTATAAAAAAATAGCAGAAACAGAAACTTTCTATAACAGTCATATTTAACTCTGCTGCTAACCATGTGTTTCCCTTTCTTCCTGTTTCTCACAGCTGAACTGTTGAGCTGAGATTTTTAGCCATATTAATTACATTTACCATGACACTGGTTTTCCTCCAAAGACCATTGAAAAGTAGTTTTTTTAACTGAAAACCATCTCTGTCGTCTCAGTTTATGTATGTGGTCATCAACCAAATATATCATCATCTGATTGTTTAACTAAACTAAATATCTGCAAGGTTATAATGCTAAAAATATCAAATTAGAAACACTCACATATTTATTTTCCAACTGTTTTGCCAGGGCCTCGACCTGCAGCCGCACTCTCTCGTCATCGTTGAAGGGGTCGTTGGGATTGTTGGAAGAAGTCAAACTTTGAGTTGTCTTTTTTGCCTGGAAAATAAAGTAATACTTAATATAAATAATCAGATGTCAGAGCTATGATTAGACAGTTTCACTGCATCTCACTCTATAACGCTGCCTGACTATGTTATAAGCTCAAATAAAAAGATAAATACAATCAGTTAAATATCCCTCACAGTCAGAGGTGGGAGAAGTACTCAGATCTTGTACTTAAGTAAAGGTAGAAGTACCATCATTTAGGAATACTTTGTTACAAGTGAAAGGCCTGCCTTCAACATGTTACTTAAGTTTTAGCATCAAAATATATTTAAAGTACCAAAAGTACTCATTATGCTGATTGGTCCCTTTCAGAATAATATTATATATTTTGATTATAATTATTGGCGCATTAATGTGTTTATCACAGCTGGTAAAGGTGCAGCTAGTTTGAATGACTTTGTATACTGCAGGCCAGGCTTGTGAATTTACTCCAGGTGTAACTAAAGTCTTATGTAGTAGAGTAAAAGTACACGATTTACCTCTGAATTGTAGTGGAGTAGAAGTACAAAGTAGCAAACAAATGAAATACTCAAGTTAAGCACAAGTACCTCAAAATTGTACAAAAAGTAAAGTACTTGAGTAAATCTACTTAGTTACTTTACACCACTGATCTCAGTAATCGCAACAATCATAACATATGCCAAACATGGCGCTGGTATAGCCAGAAATATAATTATGAAATCCTATTCTGCTTTGCAAACTTTCTCATCCAATTCCCGCTCATGTAAACCATAATAAAAGCAACAGAATCCATCATCCCAGACTGCACAGATTCAAAATGAGGGAAGCTCCTCTCTGACATTTGCCTTCCTCTCATGCTACATCCTGGTACTTCCATCAGCAATGCTCTATCATCCATCTATCACCCGCAGCCAGAGGGCCAAACTGCATGTGGCATTTCCAAGTGCTGTAATGGCTGTGTGACTGGGCTGTTGCTGGGCAAGTCTGCGTGAATAGGACACAGGTAGCAGCACAAGATAAGCTTCATCTCTACATGTTTAAAAAGAGGAGTTCCCTCGATGAAAAAAAGCTACAATGTGATGGTAGAGCGCCGCTGAAGTTGGAAAGCACACAGAGTGGACTGGTCAAATAACTGCGCTGTCTTTTGTGTAGAGTCGCACTAATGGTCAGTTTCAGCCACGCTAGTCCACAGAAGGACAAGGTGCACTTCCCCCCTCTCACTCAGCAATGACAAGTCCACACAAACACTTGCCAAGAGCAAATAATAAAATTAACCCCAGCTCCAGTACCAGCCGGCCTGGTGATGTTGGTCAGAGATCCTACCTGGCGGTTTTGGATGAGTTCTCCATAATTAAACTCGGCGGAGGAGCGGTCGTCAGGCTCGGGTAGGGACAGGTTGAGCCGCACCGTCACCCTCTTCTCGGCTACAGCCGTGTCCCCATCGCCGGTTTGGCCGAGACGCCCGTTGCTGGCAGCACCCCCTGCCCCGGTCGCTGCCTCGACCTCCCCGGCTTCACCGAAGTTGAAGTCGGCCTCATCCTCCAAACGCCGTTTCCTAGACTCCGCGGCCGCTCCAGCTGCGAAGGCCGAGAGGGTGACAAATTGCACTTTTCTCGGTTCGGCCATTTGGATGAGCTGCCTGCCTGAGCCTCGCTCCGGACAGACAGCGACAGCGAGGAGAAGAGCTACTTCGCGAAACTACTCCAAATTGGAGGGTGGAGGACGGTTTCGCGAAGCCCCGACGGCTGCTCGGTGCCTAGACGGACGTTAGGGCCTCCTCCGCACCATACGCAATGAACTCCAGGGGCTGTGACGGCGGGGGAAAAGTTGTTTCTACGGCAGCTACTTGCATCCTCAATTTGCTATGGGACCGAGACATTCACAGTAGCCATCTTGGGTTTCGGGAGTAAATAAAATATCAGAAGAGAGGGGTCGCTGCGCCTGCGCTTACGCACAAAGCGGAAGCACCGTGGCACAGGGGGTTCGTCACGTCCAATCAACGCGTGCCCCGATCCTAGACCCGCCTCTGTCACAACAGGCGATAATAACAACACTGACAGTAGGCCTACTATAATGACCTTTAAATAGTGTCTAAGTGAAGGACAGGCTGTGGGATATAACCTCACCCCACATGCTGTGTGATTACAAAAGTATCATATAACAGCTTCATCTCAATAATCACAATCCACAGCTTTCGGTTGAAGCCTTTCTTTCTGTCTATTCAGGAAAATGCTGAATTGTGCATTTTTCTAAAGCACACCCTCAAACATCAAATCCTAAACGGAAGAAAGCAAGCCAGATGGTTGGCTGTCTCAGTTAACCAGCACAAAACAGCCGATTTATTTACAGCCACTACTAACCACCTGTTGATATTCAGTTTATGATACCAACATGTTTCCCTATGACAATAAACTCATTTAAATGTGACATTGATGCTTTTATTTATTTGTTGGACTTCTGTTGCAGAAACCATGAGTGGATTAACCAGTTGGAAAGTCCTAGGGCAAAGTTTGGTCTGTAATCCTTATTAATGCCACACCTAACATATGTGGCCGATCCTTACACATTTGCAATTGAAAGAACTTTTTAGAGAAAAACCAAACACAACTGCAATGTTGTCTGAAAACTATTTGCATCCACATTAGGACCGTTTCGCGGAGACCTCTTTGTCACAATACAACACCCAAACTAAATAAATGCTACATCTCCTCTTCCTTGTCATCTTTTCAATGGCTACCAACAAAAGTGCATCAGTGTAGATCTTTCTGGAGCATAATTCACATTTTATTCTCATGTTTTTGCAATTTTGAGCAGCTTCTTCGGCTACCTTGTGCAATGCAGAATAACAAAAGTGTAATTTAACAACAGCGTTGTTTAGTTTGAGTATTTACTCCTTTTACAATACATTCATTTATATATATTTGCTCTTGATAATCCTAAAAGTGTATTGTTGTCTTGCACCGGTTCCTTTTCCACCCCTTGTTTTTTTTTTTTTAATCAGCAAATAGTTTTTTTAATTGCTTATTGGTAGAACTTTGTAAAGCAAGTTACTTGATACGTGATACAACTGACAAGAACAAAAAAATACATAGTCACGTTTTTATTATAAATATACGAGTACATAGAGAATTGCAATTCAAAACTGACATATTTAACAACGTAATGGCAGAGATAATAGTTTTATTTTTGGGCATAGGTATAATTTATACAATAGAACTGCTGATGTCTGCATAATGAAGCTACTCTTGATGTAGCGAGCTGAAGATCAGCTGTCATGAGAGAAGGACTCTGTTGTCTTTGGCCCATTTCCTCAGAGCTCGAATGATATATTCAACCTGGGGGTTTCCTGAATTTCGCAGCAGAGACAACACCTCTTTAAGTGTCTCCCTGGAACACAAACAGGATATGTGAGGAAACAAGATTAGACGAAGAATGCACCATTTCTCGTGTTGCTTTAATTTAGACATCACACCCACTCAAACACAGAGGTTTAAAATGTCCGCCCCGATGTTATTGAGTTTTACTGGGTAATGATGACAGCGATCTCTTTGACACATGATGTTTTGCAACGAAAACAAAAAAACTAGAAAACATTGTAAAATGTAAATTGATGAAATATATTGCAGAGGAAAAAGAGACAAACGTACTTAGACTCCTTGTTGGCCAGTATGAGCTGGAAGATGCCGACACATGCGCCTCTCTTGCCCTCCCAGTAGTTGGATTCTGGGTCCAGTTTCTCCAGAGCATCAAATGCTTTAGCTGCATAGTAGAACTGGCCCATCTGAAACAATAACCATATTTCCATGAGAAATGCCCATTTTCCTGGCATCAGTTATTTTATTCTGTGTGTGTGTTAAAATGTGACTTGAAATTAATTTGTTATCGCTAATTACTATTTGTTTTAGCAATAATTAATTAATGTACAGGATGCTGTCACCTTGTAGCAGTCGTTGGCAATAAGCTGCAGCAGACTGAAGGAATCGGAGGAAGTGCCCATCTTCAGATAGAGCTCCCAGGCAAGCCGGCCCCTCTGGTTCATGATGTCTGACAAGAACAAGACGAGTTCAATAATCCTTCATTCACAGGCAGATTCTGCAACTTTTATAGATTCAGATTTGGGAGATATTCGCTGCCCGTGGGAAGGTTTTCATTGATGTGGGTAAAGCCGAGATGGGGAGAAAAACCTTTTAATTTAGATATCCATGTCTTAGAGCTGCTGAGCGTAACGCCAGCTGGGTGCAAAAGTGAACATTGTTTTATAAACCCAGGGCTAGAAATCTGTCGGTGATGTTTGATTAGATCTCAGTCTCGGTGAATTAGTATAAAGGCTTCCTCAGTCTAATGTAAGAGTTCTGAGTTCATGATTTTATCTCATCAGGTGTAGATTACTGTAACTGTTTACATAAAAAGGCCTCTCCTTTATTCCAAATGAAGATCTGTTCAGAGTTGGAAAAACTGGAAATAGGCTCTGATTTATGAGGGTTTCTGTCTCAACTCCTCCTCTGACAATAAATGTAAATGTATTTATGTTTTCCTTTTCTATTTTAAAGTTGAACAATTTTTTACAATTCCTTTTAAAGTTAAGTTGACATACATGAATTGCTAAATGAAGGATTTCTGCCTCGGAGAAAGATTTTGGTAATTAAACATCACTCATACAAATGCTATACGTACAGCATCTAGCCAGCCAGCTGAGGTAAACATAGTCATTCTTGATCTTTTCACTCTGAATCAGTAGAAAAATCTGAAAGAAAAAATCGAATTAATCCAAATATCTTTAAGCAACGTATTAGCATTGATATATGCCTGTAAAAGGCAGTTGTGTGGATGTTTAATGAAGTAAGGTACCTCTTCTGCTTCTTTGTAGTTGCCAAGGGCTGCTTTAGCCTGAGCATAGTTGAAGTTGAACGTATCATCGTTATAGAAATAACCCTGAAAAAACAGAAGTACAATTATTCCTACACGAAAAGGCCCACATGTGCGCTGTGTCTGTGAAGCACTACTGCTCATCTGAAGTGCCACTTGTCTCCCAGTGTGTGGGAGTCTTTGTAACTCCATCTCACATATTCACACCACAGCAGAGTATTCTCACTGTGATTATACTGGAATATAATATAGCACTAACCTTGACTGAGTTGAGATATATGAGGACATCTTCAAACAGTCTTAAGAGGAAGAAGCAGGACGCCATGCACTGTCTGCCAGGAATAGTGTCTGAAAGCAAGAAGTATGTTACACACACATCCTCACACAGCTTTCCTTTATAAAGCGCATTTTGATAATATTTATTTTCAATGTACCGCATTCGCTGGCCGAGCCTCCGACCAGCTGGAAGAACTGCTGAGCAAATTTCAGGTGATCCCTCTGAAAGACAAAGCATGAAAACAGAAATGTGTCTCTCTGACTCTCTATTATCACTTTTGTTTGTGTGACTATTTATTTAACAGAAATACTGACTGATCCAATTTCTTGTCCCAAAGCTGCATTGACGACTCCTTTCAGAATGTACTCCTGAGAAAAAGAAAAAAAAATGTATCAATATTCTTCCCTGTAAAAACCTATTAACCATTGTATGCAAAATGGCCAATATTAGCACAGGTTGTAGTTTAATACAGCTACTGTATTGGGAAGATCTGGATTTCCTTATGGAGACCAAAGAATTATATTTGATATCACATTAACACCCAATGACACATTAAATCATTACCTGAGTTGTGTTGGGAACCAAATCCTGGATGAGGTTGTAGGCTTCCTGCACATCATCTGGAAGTAAAAATATGGAGCTTGTAAGTCCAAGCTAGGGGAGGTTTTTCTCTGAAATATGACCCCTAAAACCCCTACACAATTAATTAAAGGAGACATTTACTTAAAATGTTGGATAATAAATCTTAAAGTCTAAGGAAGTGAATTATCTTCGGTTTTTGGCTCTTTTTTTTTTTACACCACAGAGATTTGAGTAATTCCTAAATACGGCAAGTATCACATAAAATAGAGTGTTATATATAATTTATATTTGTAGAATATTTAAATATGATTAAAGCACATTTAGTAGAATTATGAATTTGTGAACTATTGATGACTATGGGAAAACATGTCCTTATCTTCATTTCCTCACCTCTTAATTTACAGTTAGTTAGAGATTTGATGCATTTCAATAGGAATTCTTTCTGTGTTTAGCTTGTTTCAGAAAACTGTAATGCCATGTCTGCACACCTTGTCTGAGATAGTAGATGACCAGGTTGAGTCTGGCCTCGGGGATCACATCGATCAGAGGAGGCAGCACCTGCAACGCCCCCTCCCCACCACGGAACACCACCTGCAGTTCACAAGGGGGGGGATTCAGAATGTGGAAAAGCAGCATGTGAGTCACTGGTTAATGTACACCCACGCACGCACGCACATACACACACCCACACACACACTCACACTCAGCGCTTGTGAAGAGCTTACCAGGTTGTGTCGGATAAGCTCCTTAGCAAACTCAAAGGAGCAGGAGGAGATGTCGATTAGGTTCTTCAACTCAGCCTAAGATGGTGAGAGTCTACAGTAAGCCAAACCCACTACCAGATAGTGATGACAAGCAGTTACTGGTAAACTGTTACAGTGCATGTATGGCTACATAAATAAACATCAAAATTATTTAAAAAACGTTTTCCAGAAAAGCACAATAACTGTGCACTGACCGCTCTAAAATACTGTATCTTTAAATAGCCACTTCAGTTGTCACTTGTTTGAAAGTATGCCTTTGTGTTATTTGTTGGATTATTTGCATGCTTAAGCTATTGGTTCCTGGGTTCTGAGTACCTCGGCTGCCTTGCCATTGTAAAGTCTGAAGTGGTTGCAGGCCTTGAGGTTCAGGGCAATAGTGGAGTCCGGCACGCTCTGCAGGTACACAGCCAGCACCTCCTGAGACACGTCGTAGTAATCCAGCTTGTAGTAACACAGAGCCACGTACACTTTCAGGGCCAGGAACTCTCTGACATACAAGAAGCAACGAGGGGGTTAAACTGGCTTTCAGACCTAAAAAAACAACAGGCTTTTCATTACCACACAAATCCTGTTTAAAACAGTTCATTTTGCATTTATTAACCATGTGTGTACCATAATGTATTGAGTTACTATTATCTCATATTTCTTGACAAAAAATAGTTTGTATACATATTTTATTTAACTATTAGATAAGTATATCAATAATTTATTCTAGTTCATGACAAAGTGTAAAAGCAGTGACCTTGAGCGTGATCAGTTTTAAATATTAGCTTTGTATAGATGAAAATTGAGATCACTGTCCACACGTGCTTCTCCTCTTCACTGATGTTTGTATCAAATAGCAGGGCTCTATGATATTTATAATCGTTGTCTTCACTTAAAATAATTTACCTGATATACGATGCCGAGCATGGTTAGCTACAGTTCAGCAAGAATACTTTAATACTTAAAACCCACCTGTGGCCTAGTTTGTAAAAGTTACATCAACGTACATTATTCCCTTTCATAGACACCATGGTCATAAAGCAAATAAAAGATCGTATGTTTATTGTATATTATAATAACAAAATCTTTATAGTTGGGCATATTTTCAAGACGGACACAAGAAGTTATTATAGGGACAAACAGACATAAGAAGTTACAGAAACAAGACACATCATATATTCTGGTTTTAGGAGTAATGTGTATATTTTTGTATTGCTGTTTTTTGATATTTTAGAATTTTTGTATTTTATTAAAAAAGTGTGCTCAGAGCTTCTGCAGAGGAATGCTGATAACTGACGTCACCCTAGTTAACCGGAGATACACCTTGGCCTCCAGATTCCACAGCGCCTGGAATACATCTCTGGGAATGTGTCACAGTGAAATCAAAGTCTTTCATTTTCTTACCCTTGCTTCTTCAGATACAGTACAGCAGGGTTAGAGGAAGCTGGCTCAGCAGATCACCTGCACTGACACCTGAATTATCTTCATGGTTCCAAGAGGCGTGAAGCTCAAATTAACAACTCACACCTGTCGAGGTAGTGCAAGGATGTCACATGCACGCGCAGCAGAACTGTGAAACTGATTTAACCCGTTAAGATCCACAACGTGAGCCAATACTGTTAATTTATTCTCTACTGTTTTCTGGAGATACCTAAAAAAAAAAATATTTACAAGTGAGGATGAGACTGATCTAAACTATATAGGAAAAATAAATACATTTCTATTTTCTTTATTTATTCTTAAGAATATGTTTTGTCCTTTTGGAAAAATACATATTTAATATTATAAATGTTTTATTGCTAATGATTTATGAGTGTTTATTCCCAGAATAAATTCAACATTGCAGTTTTTCGACTTTGTAATACGATTAGCTTCTGAATGGGTTAATACAGTGAAAGGCAGTGAACGGCACCGACCTGTTCTGCAGGAGAAGGCGTTTGTAGATGTCTATAGCCTCCTGGTAGTGGGAGCGCATGTAGTGGATGGACGCCAGGCTCAGCTGGTCCTCCGTCACGTCCTCCAGATTCTGATGGAAACTCATCAGACTCTTCTCATCGTTAAACTGAGACACAATATAAAGACAATGAAGGGATACATCAATCAGAAATGTTATCATGATAAAGCAGCTAAGACTGCTAAAAGGAACGAAGACATGAATCACACTAAGGAACAAAAAGGTCACAGAAATCGGAAATATTCATCATCTCAACAGCAGAAAAGGAGATAAACGATGGACAAAGACGATATTATCAGGTTTAAGAATATGTACTTCTACTAAAGTAGTAGTGCATTCCGCTTGTACTGAAGAAGTATTTTCAGACCACATTATTTCTACCTTTAGCTAAGTAAAGGATCTGGGTACAAAGACGATATTACCAGGTTTGTATTGAGATGAATGCACATAAATGATCAAAATTGCACAAAGTTTTTCTCAGTGTTGAGCTCAGACAAAACGAGATGGAATGAAAAATCAGATCAGCATTCAATGACATGAAGATGTGTGTTTCTTTTGTATTTTAAACCAAAAACTGCATTTACAGAGCAGGGTGGCTCAGCAGTAAATTGTTATTATTAAGTGAGGGAAATAAGGTAAATAAAAAACGCAATAGTAACAAGATATAGTTGTTTTCCAACCTTGTGAGCCAGGTGGAAGAGTAGTCGGTTTTGGAGGGGGGACACTGGAGCTACAGACAGCAAGAGATACCAAATATAGTAACACAGCAATCCACATGAGAGGCACAATGTATTTACATCATTACATTTGCTCAATTACACAAACGATATCTGGTGTTAAATTAATGTATGTGAACTAAAACTGTACAGAGATTAACTTAACTGAAAACAAACCAATACTTATTGACATTTTGAACATGCAGCTTATTTACACCAATATACAGTATGGTCAAATTCAAGCAAAACATTTTATTATATGTGAAAATACAAATTGTGTATTTGGACTGGTTGTTAGGCACACACCATATCTCGTTCACATTTGACAGTCAATTGGCAAGATAAGATACAATGAATAGATAGATACTGAATGCTAAACATGAGCATGATCTTACCCTTAGATGCAGCGTCCTGAGCCTCTTTATAGAGACCCAGAAAAAACAGTACACAGGCCAGAAAGACCCACACATCCTCAGCACAGTCAGGCTTCATGGTCAGAGCTTTGTACTCCTGTCACATGAAGAGGGAATATAACACATGCGGTCAGTCTAAAAATGCAGCCAGTCACATCGTTTTAATTTCTCCATTTATGTATTATCCATTCCTGTGTATTAAACTACACACTCATTAAGACACACATGTACAGCGAAGAGTACCTCCATAGCTCTCTTGTAATCGCCCAGGTGGAAGGCACAGTAGCCAATCCAGAGGTCTGCATGCTCTTCTTTCTCACCAATACTTCTCTGAAACTGGAGATGACACAGCAACAAATCAGCAGCGTTCAGGAATACAGTGCTGTCTGTGGCATAGGTGTGGGAGTGATGCTATTTCTGAAACTTTAATGCCAGAGCATGACACAGGACAATCGACTGAATCGAAGTGCAGCAAATACTATATTAAAGAATATATGCATAGATTATTCACCAAATGGGAAAGTTGTCCCAGTGGTTTCATCTCAATATCTTGTCAACTGAATCCTCTCATTTGGATATTATTCATTTAGCAAATATGCTGCTTCATTTCAGAATTTTGAAAATGATGGTCTTATCAATCACATGCAGGAAAAGAAAATATATATTTTGTTAGCTGTATGTGACCAAGATAAATACTTAATGGGACGTTGCACAATTGAAAAACAAACTTGTCAGTGCTCTCTAGTGGACTAACTGTAAAATGGTAAAACGGTTTCTATTACCTCAAATATAAGATGTTATTTCTTGTTAATTATCAGTCAACATATACAATTATCAATATGGCCTTTTGCTGCATGTTGTAGGACCTCTCCCTCTTTCTTATCCATCTTTGGCTGTACTGTCTAAAAGTGTAAACATCTAGAATAATAGGCAGCCTTCATTTATAACATTTAATTTACTGATCTAGATTCCTTACATTTATTTCAAGGTTATTCAGCATTTATTGAACCTTTTAATCAATCAATCAAAGTTAAATTATATAGCCAAATATCACAAATGTAACATTTGTCTTAGTGGACTTGTACAGTTGTACAGAACATGAATATGAATATGAAACCCTCTCTCCTTAGACCCTCACTTCGGACAAGGAAAAACTTCCAAAGAAACCCCACAGTTACCGGGGGGGAAATGGAAGAAACCTCGGAGAGAGCAACAGAGGAGGATCCCTCTACCAGGAGGAGAGAGATAAATGTTGTGTGTAAATTAAAAAGATAATGCATTTACAACTAAATCATTTTGAGTTTTGTTACATTTTCATCCCACTTAATTATTATTATAACAATGCAACATTGTATTGGGCTTTTGGGGATCTTGTAAATGTTACCAACTCTGATGTTGGAGATGTGGGTGAGCTGCAGTACAGCACACACTGCTCTACGGGCTAAACAACTATAGTAATCCCTGAATGCATGTGTACACACTAAACGTATCCCCTCTAGTAAAGGGTAATAGTGAAGGGTGTGATATGAGTGTACTTTACGTACCTCTAACAGGGTAAAAGCCCCAAGGTAGTCTCTCTGTTGCAGGTATTCCTCCAATGACGGAACTTTTGTCTTGTTTTTCTTCTTTTTCTCGCTGATGCTCACTGCCGTCTCTCCTCCCACGGCTGGCTTCACGCGAGAGAGAATCTGCCATGGTGCAACATTTTTTATTTCTCCAGTTAACACAGAAATGTGAGGGGTTGGGGCAACGATCAGTGGTGTAAAGTAACTAGGTACATTTACTCAGGTACTGTTATTGAGTACAACTTTGAGGTATTTGCGTATTTCCATTTAATTCTACTATGTACTTCAATTAAGAGGTAAACATTGTACTTTTACTCGACTACATTAACATAGTAGCCTACCTTTAGTTATTTTGTTGATATGGAATAATGATTAAAACAAATATGATCAACACTTAAATAAGACTTTAGTCACACCTGGATTACATTCACATGCTACCCAGCAGAAATTAAGTAATTGAAACTATTTCCAGCTTTACCAGCTTGATAAACACATTAATATATCAACAATTATAATCAAAATATATATGATGCTGAAATGGGCCACTTTGCATTTTGTAAACCTTTTTTACTTGAGTTACTATTTACATACAATACATTAACTTGTAACAGACTAGTCCTACTCTGTGGTATTTCTACAACTCTGGCAACAATGCACAACAATTTCAGAAATATGAAATAAGAAAGCATTACAAAATGTATTGACAACGTTTTGCATTGAGGTATGCAAAAGTTTACTCACCATCTCGACGAGTCTTGATGAAGAGGCCCGCAACGCTAGCTAAGACTTGTTTATCACTAGGTAACGTGTACCTCTCAACGGAAACACAAACTGCTAGCTGTTACGCTTGCTCCATTACGTGAGGTTTTAAGCTAAATAGAGTCATTTTACATTAAACCCCTGCCAGATAACGCTGCCAACGTAAACGGAATTCACTTACGAGAACAATTTAAGTGATTAAATTGAAGTTTTAACACGTTTTTCTACTGGAGAATTATGGAGGATCTGAGTCAACGTTGGCTATCTAATAGTTTAGTGGCAGCGTAGACTAATTCTTCCGGTCCCATATTTTCAAAATAAAAGCACCCTAAAATCTAGTAAGGCAGTTTAACAACTAATCAGGATAAACGGTAGGCCTACTCAGTAACAGTAGACATACTACAGTGTAAAACGACTTTGTCACAAGTAAAAGTCCTTCATAGATAATCTTACTTGAGTAAAAGTACACGAGTATTGGCATAAAAATACTCTAAGTAAAAGTACTTATTGTGCGTAATAATATCCCATTTTAGAATAATAATATACCGAATTATTGTTATTCACGCATTTATTTGTTCATCACAGCTGGTAAAGGTGGATAATATTGAAGTACATCATACAGTATATTGCTGCACCATATCTTAACCTACAATTTTGTATCATATGTTATGTATGAGTTTATGTTTTGCTAATAATCTGAATCTGTAAAATAACTAACTCCTTTCGTCAAAAATAATGTAGTGGAGTAAAAAGTAAAATCTTGGATTCCAAATTGTAGTGAATTTGAAGTATAAAGCCGCATACAATACAATTAAGTTAAGCACCCCAAAATCTTTCTTACGCACAATAATGTACTGGATTTTCTTCACTACATTACGAGACTGAAGATAAATAGTTGATGAAACCCATCCCACACCTCTCCGAAAACCTTTCAGAGCATTAAACCCCAGGTTGGCGAAAGCAATTGAAGGCAAAGAACGGACAGAGAAACCATAAAAAATAAACCGCTTTCGAATGCCTTTTATTTTGAAGTCAAATCGAGTTTGGGACTCAACCGGAAACCACTCGAATCTTCATTGTTCAACTTGATGAAGCAGTTTGTTCTTTGTTGCCTAGCAACGGAAGAAAGAAAAATGGCTGTATCACACACTTCATAAAACATACATGGCGGTTCAGAATTTAAAAAAATACATTTATTTACAAAGCACAGATATAAATATTCATTAACTATGCATGCATAGTTAACAAATGAGGATAAGGCACTGGCCTCGTAAGCCAGGGATTCATGGGTCGATTCCTATCTGGGGTGGTATGGTATGTTTGAAAATAGTTTATACAAAAGTCAACTTCAATGCATCGTAAGTGAGATATTGTGAGTGATTACTCACATGGACAAATATTAAAGTTTCTTAATTACTTGCGTGTAAATTACTACGAGAATTGAAGGAATGTATGACTCATACGAAAATATAAGCAAACTAGCACAGGATATTAATGCTTTAGTAAGGGACATTGCACCATGCCATTTACTTGTGCCTGTATACATGTTGACATTTGGCAGATTTTGAATTTCGTACATGAGCATACATTGTGCAATATTATTGCAGACAAGCAAAAGAAACAAGACAGTATTATGAATAATCAGCCATCTTTATTGATTTCTCAGCTTAGTGCAGTTTCATTCATATAGTCCAACATCAACTTCCTTGGGGAAGTTAACAATCTGTACAGCATCCTACAGCCTCGGTCCTTTGACACAAAGGAGATAAAAGAAACACCAGGAAGATCTGAGGACAGAGACGTGCAACAAAAGCATTGTGCATTTCTAATGACTTTCTTCTCGACTTGACACCAGTCTTCAGTGGTCGTCTGGTCACAACACCCCTTAACAGGAAACAAGAGAAAACCGTTTAAACATTTAAATAAGCACCATTTTCAAATTCATCAAAACTCTTCCAAAAACACAACTCGGAAAATAATTTGGTAAACATGGTAAGAAAACTCAGAATTTGGTATTGAGAAAAATTATAGGTAAAAAAAAAAAAAAAAGGTGAAAATATTCTACATTTAAATTTAAAAAAATAGGAAAGATAATGTTATTATCACTCCAGCAAAAGCATAATAACTCACCTCCTCCGAATCTCCTGTAGAAGTAGAGAACAGGCGTGACTTCATAAGCTACCAAGGCGATGTCAGACCTCTCCCTCCAGAGGCATCCTGAGTCACAGGCACCACACCTGCAAATCATTCAAATGTTCAGCCACCAAATTAAATAGTCAGAGCACAGTAAAAAAAATCAAAGGGGAGATAAAACGTGCAACTTATTTGATAGCTAAGCAGCCTATAGTTTGCCGACAGGAAATTATGCCACACAAGGCTTCAAATCAGCTGATCTAAGTTTCATAACAGCCCCTGGGGCAAAGGATGACTGTCTTCAAATGTGGTTTCTACTCACTCATCTTTTCCATGTGAAAGACAACAGGAAGCTAACAGCAGACAGCCTAACAATGTGCCTGCACATGGGCCTAATCCATTCACTATAGAATCTGCTGATTCATTGAACCCATTACAACTGAAGTAACCTGAGGCAGTGCTTTGTGGGTTGCAAATGGAAACGGGTAAACAAATAGTATAAAAGATGTAGTGCAACTGTGCCTGCAGGAGGTTCCCAACTAGTACAATTGTATGAAAAAGAAAAGCCCCCTTGTATTAAACATTTAAATGTGGCTCAGGTCACTATCAAACTCCAGTCATGGGACAGCAGTCCTACTGGTGTTAGCGAAAACCCGGCCATGTTACTGTGGCACACTTCCGACACCCAAACACAGACGAGATCAGTGCCAGGCTTTAATTGTGTGCTGCATGTTTAATGCTATGCGTTTTGAGTGGCATGCTCTTGCTTTAACCAAACATCTCAATCATCTAGACATTTATGATATGGTCCTACTTTTATAATTAAACGTGCAACATAAAGCTTTGTGCATATACAGACCTGCTCTGTATTCCTGAAGGAGAGGATGCCAACATGCCCAGGTTCAAGAGGCAACAAATGGCTCTGGTCGTTCCCAAGCCTTCCTCGCATTATAAAATACACACTACCTGGAGAGGAAAACACACAATGACACTCAACATACTCATGACACAGCCACACAGAGATTGGTCATCTGATTAGGTCAAGCTTTTGCTTCAATTTTATGAATTCATTTTTTATTCAGACTGGCCCAATTGTCGTCGTACCACTATCCAGTTATTCAAGTCACTATAGGTCAGTTTTGGTGCATTTCTTCAAATCATTTGTAATTATATTTAGCAAACCATTTTTAAATGTATATTCTCATAGACTAAAAGGTTCAAATGTGGCTCAGGTCACTATCAAACTCCAGTCATGGGACAGCAGTCCTACTGGTGTTAGCGAAAACCCGGCCATGTTACTGTGGCACACTTCCGACACCCAAACACAGACGAGATCAGTGCCAGGCTTTAATTGTGTGCTGCATGTTTACTGCAATGGAATACAATTTAAAGTCTATCAAAGCAAATACCAGCATTAAAACAAGGCTAGCTTGTCCTGTGATTTGAACTTAAGTGCAATTGCATAAGATAAAACAGTGAAACGAGAGTACAGAGTCCTTTCATGTAGAAGACAAAGATAGTCTAATTTGTGTTTTTTTTAGGCATGTTCTTGATAAAACAAAAACACATCAAGTACAAATGTATGTAATGGTCCTACTTTTATAATAAAACATGCAACATAAAGCTTTGTGCCTATACAGACCTGCTCTGTATTCCTGGAGGAGAGGATGCCAACATGCCCAGGTTCAAGAGGCACCAAATGGCTCTGGCCGTTCCCAGGTCTTCATCACGGTATAAAGTACACACTACCTGGAGAGGAAAACACAATGAAGCTCGACACACAGCTTGGTCATTCGATTAGCCATTCTACTGGCAAGGTCAAGCCTTTGCTTAAACGTGATGAATGCATTTTTTTTAATTTCAGATAGGCCTCATTGTAATCGTACCACTATCCAGTTATTTGAGTCAGTATCGGTGCATTTCTTCATTTGTAATTCGTTTTGGAAACTATTGTTATTTTTAAAGAAAATGTATAATCTTGCACTTTAATGTTAAAATGTGGCTCAGGTCACTATCAAACTCCAGTCATGGGACAGCAGTCCTAATGGTGTTAGCGAAAACCCGGCCATGTTACTGTGGCACACTTCCGACACCCAAACACAGACGAGATCAGTGCCAGGCTTTAATTGTGTGCTGCATGTTTACTGCAATGGAATACAACTTAAAGTCTATCAAACTAACAGTGTAACGAGAGTACTGAATTGATCCATGTTTGAATGCTTATATTTTCAACTTTCATGTGGAAGACAAAGATAGTCTAATTTGCATTTAGTTTTTTGTGGCATGTTCTTGCTTTAACAAAACACATCAAGTACACATTTATGTAATGGTCCTACTTTAGGACAGACCTACTTTTATAATAAAACATGCAACATAAAGCTTTGTGCCTATACAGACCGGCTCTGTATTCCTGGAGGAGAGGATGCCAACATGCCCAGGTTCAAGAGGCACCAAATGGCTCTGGCCGTTCCCAGGTCTTCATCACATTGTTAAGTACACACTACCTGGAGAGGAAAACACACAATGAAGCTTGACACACAGCAACAGAGTTTGGGGATCGGATAATTAGCCAGTCTACTATCAAGGTCAAGCTTTTTCTTCAATTTTATGAATTTATTTTGTATTCAGATCTGACCTATTGTAATCATCCCACTACTCAGTTATTTGAGTCAATATCGGGGCATTTCTTCGAATCATTACTATTTTTTGTAAACTTTTATTTTTTTTAAATGTATATTCCTGCCCTACAATGTTCAAATGTGGCTCAGGTCACTATCAAACTCCAGTCATGGGACAGCAGTCCTACTGGTGTTAGCGAAAACCCGGCCATGTTACTGTGGCACACTTCCGACACCCAAACACAGACGAGATCAGTGCCAGGCTTTAATTGTGTGCTGCATGTTTACTGCAATGAAATACAACTTAAAATATACAAAAACAAGGCTAGATTTTCCTATAATGTAACCTCAAGAGCAATTGCACAAGATAAAAACAAAGTCATCAAACTAACAGTGAAACGAGAACTGAATTGATCCATGTTTGTAAGCTTATATTTTCCACTTTCATGTGGAAGAAGACGATAGCCAAATTTGTGTTTAGTTTTTGATGGCATGCTCTTGCTTTAACAGAACATCTCGTACAAATTGGTGTAATGGTCCTACTTTTGGACAGACCTACTGTTATTAGGAAAGTGAAACAGGTTTGATTTATTTAGGCTGGAATTGGTAAAGAATCATGAACTATTAGTCAAAACTCACTGTCAGTATCTTTTGCAGATGCTGCTCCATCTGAGAGCCTGGTTGGTTCCTGCTGCAATGAAGGTCAGAACACCCTCCTCCTGCATCTACAGCACATCATGTCTACTGAGTTATGAGTTTGATGGGAAAGCTGTAAGAAAAACAAAACAAAAAATGTGCGACATGGATTTAGTTTTTAATTGAGATGCAATCCATTGTCATCGTCCCACTATCGAGTTATTTGAGTCAGTATGGGTCGACATCTTTGCATTTCTTCGAATCATTTGTATTTTTTTAGCAAACCATTGTCGTTTTTTTTTTTGTTGTAAATGTATATATACACATTCCTGCTCTTTAATGTTAAAATGTGGCTCAGGTCACTATCAAACTCCAGTCATGGGACAGCAGTCCTACTGGTGTTAGCGAAAACCCGGCCATGTTACTGTGGCACACTTCCGACACCCAAACACAGACGAGATCAGTGCCAGGCTTTAATTGTGTGCTGCATGTTTACTGCAATGAAATACAATTTAAAGTCTATCAAAGTAGTGTCAAACTAACAGTGAAACGAGAGTACTGAATTGATCCATGTTTGAATACTTATATTTTCAACTTTCATGTGAAAGACAAAGATTCTTATTTGTGTTTGTTTTTTTGTGGCATGTTCTTGCTTTAACAAAACACATCAAGTACAAATTGATGTAATGGTCCTACTTTAGGACAGACCTACTTTTATAATAAAACATGCAACATAAAGCTTTGTGCCTATACAGACCTGCTCTGTATTCCTGGAGCGGGTGACACCAACTTTGCCCAGGTTCTAGATGCACCAAATGGCTCTGGCTTTTCCCAGGTCTTCATCACGTTGTTAAGTACACACTACCTGGAGAGGAAAACACACAATGAAGCTTGACACACTCATGACACGGCCACACAAAACCTTTTTTTTCTTTTAAACCCTAGTTCTTTTTTTAATGTATATATATATATATATCCATTAATGTTAAAATGTGGCTCAGGTCACTATCAAACTCCAGTCATGGGACAGCAGTCCTACTGGTGTTAGCGAAAACCCGGCCATGTTACTGTGGCACACTTCCGACACCCAAACACAGACGAGATCAGTGCCAGGCTTTAATTGTGTGCTGCATGTTTAATGCAATGAAATACAACTTAAAATATTTAAAAAAAACAAGCGTTCAAAGCAAGGCTAGCTCTTCCTTTGATGTGAACTTTAAGGGCAATTGCACAAGATAAAAGTCATCAAACTAAGAGTGAAACCATGTCATGTTGAAGACAAGAACACTCTAATTTGTGATTAGTTTTTGGTTGAATGCTCTTGTTGTAACATAATATCTCAAGGATAATATGGTGTAATGGTCCTACTTTAAGACAGACCTACTGTTATTAGGAAAGTGAAACAGGTTTGACTTATTTAGGCTGGAATTGGTAAAGACACATGAACTATTAGTCAAAACTCACTGTCAGTATCTTTTGCAGATGCTGCTCCATCTGAGAGCCTGGTTGGTTCCTGCTGCAATGAAGGTCAGAACACCCTCCTCCTGCATCTACAGCACATCCAGACATTGTGTCTAGTGAGTTATGAGTTTGATGGGAAAGCTGGAAGAAGAGAAAAAAGAAAAACAATTGTTTTAGATTTCGTTTTTTATTGATGGGATCCATTCTCAGACTATCGAGTTATTTGAGTCAGTATGGGTCGACATCTTGATCTTTATATTTCTTCGAATCTTTGATATTGTTTTGCAAACCATTGTCGTTTCTAAAATATATATATACACACACATATATACACACATACATGCTCTTTAATGTTAAAATGTGGCACAGGTCACTATCAAACTCCAGTCATGGGACAGCAGTCCTACTGGTGTTAGCGAAAACCCGGCCATGTTACTGTGGCACACTTCCGACACCCAAACACAGACGAGATCAGTGCCAGGCTTTAATGGTGTGCGTCAATATAAAAAGGGAAAACGTGTTTAGCAAATTGGTAGTTTTTAAATATATATTCCTGCCCAGGGACGATGGATGCAATTTAGCTACAGTTAGTTATTTGTTACCACTGGCTCAAGAGTTGTGTTGTGCATGCCCCGTATATACATTAAACGCAATGCAGCCATTAAAGCGAGTTCATTAATGTATCCCTGCAGCATAGTTAAAGCTTTTCTTACATGTTAATCCTTACATAGTGTAATAATAAGACGGTAATTCAGAGTTATATTTCTCACCACGTGGACCAGACTTGCAAGGACCAGCACCTCGCGGTCGAAAGAGAGAGAGACAGGAAGTGGCGTCGGTTTTATATATTTTAGTCTCTTTGCCCCGAGTGCTGCCTGTCAGGTCGATTATGGCTAGAAATTATCCGTCTTGTGTAAAACTCTCGCGAGAGTTTGCAAGTCACGTGGCTGAATGTTTACGTTTGGCAGGCAGCCTTTCAGTTACGATCGTTAACATCAGTGGGCCACAGCAAATGATGGTGAGAAGCTAAACTATCTATTAATTATGTCAATTACAGGGAGTGTGATTGTTGAAATAGGGTGTTAGCGGTCTTGCTGTTCAAAGAAGAATGACAACACTGTAGATCACCAACACTATGGTTTATTTTGTATTCACAGGCAAGTCAACGTTGTCGCAGTAAAAGTCCCAAGATAGCTCCTGGTGCAATAAAATGTTGCCTTTCAGTGTTTTACTATTATGTCTGATGTTTCTCTATTAATATTGCTGCTGCATTAATGTGTATGTTGCATCATGTTACTGCTGTGTAGATGTGTTTCCGAGCCGCTCCGATTACAACGAGAGTTACAACGAGAACGTGACGTCATATTTACACAAGACGGATCCTTTCTAGCCATAAACTAGGTCAGGTCCGCTACGCACAGTACCAAGCCTGACTCTGAATTAATAACATATAGTTTGTTGTCACTGTTGTCTTCTCTTTATGCATCCATGGTTGTGACCATGTGGTGATATATAAACTATTAGCTCTGAAGGCTGGTGAAATTAGCTCTGTCGAAATAAAAGCACGTTCAAACAAACAAAGCAATCAAAGCATAACAAGTATTTTTTTCTATACTGAAACAAATTAACATGTTTTTTGCACATCTCAGTAGCTGCATAAATTACAACATCTGGAATAAAGTACATTTTTAGGCAACACGACCTTTGACAAGGTCAGCCTAATGCACTGTATGCAGGAGGCGATGTGTAACTTATCTGACTTACAAAAAAATGGGTTTAATAGGAATGGGATGTCGTTTTGGGGAAATTAACACAATAACCAAATAAAACAGAGGAGTAATTTATCTTCCAAAATATAAACAAAACAAATAGTCCAGTCTTTTATAAACGCACTCAAAAGTGAATATATATTTGATACCAAAATCATTCAGTTGAATTGAGAGTTAACTTAAGATCTGAAAGTCACAACCAACCATGGAAAGAGTTCAGCTGTTTTGTGAAATCCTTAATTCATTTGAATGGTCAGGTGAACATTTGTTGAAGAGACACCCAGATATTTGAATGTGACACTTTCCCCTCCAGCACAGGTCATGTTTGGGAGGATGGACCAGCTTAAGCAAATTGCTGGTGATGGTGAAATGGAAATAATGTACCTGGGCTTATCATTCTTTAGGAAAATGCAAGGACGCTTCACTGACTCCAGCTTACGAATTGCAAACTAGTGTCATGATTTATTTGCCTCTGGCGAGTGCTGGTCAAAGTCAAAGTCAACTTTATTGTCAATCTTTCAGTTTGTGTGTACAAGGCAAGGCAAGGCAAGTTTATTTATACAACACCTTGGCTTTCAGCACACGGCAACCCAAAGTGCTTTACATAATAAAATAAAAGACATTTAAGAATAAATACAGTGGAAGCATATTATAAAAAGGCATTTAAAAACAGTCATTTTAAAAAGCAAAGATAATAAAATAAACACAACAGGTATAAAATACATGGATAAAAGCCAAACTGGTCAGAGAGATCGAATACTATTTCCCACAATCCCGAATACAAAAATACAAATATAAATAAAAATATGTATATACCTATATACACACAATCAACAGACACATTTATACATATGCACACATTAAGACCTCAATAAAAGCACAACAATCAATCAGTGGCAAACCGTCAGGGCCTTCAATGTATTCAGAGCCTGCATGGAACACTCAGATAAAACAAACAAAAAATCGATTTAATTATATAAATAAAATGTATATAAAATGAATAAATTAGAATCGTATCTGTGTTGTTGATCTGCAATATTACAGTGTTACGTTGATTTGTTTGTCCTTCTCGGTCCATGCACTACGCATTTCCATGGAAGCGCCACAGGGAAAAAAATCCTGTAAGTCAATATATTGACTTAGCTATCTCAATATATTGACTTACTATCTCAATACATTGACTTAGCCATCTCAATATATTGACTTACTATCTCAATATATTGAAACAAATATGTCAAATACAGAATAAGGCACATAGACATCAATGTTCATCATATAAGCGGTACAACTTTATATTAAGGTACACAAATTAACCATCAACTAGTTGTTAATTAACATACATATTAGCAGTATATTGGCTCTTTATTAGTCATTATAAAACACTCATTAATGCCTTATTCTACAAGTAATAGGCCATTAGTTGAGAGTTTTTCCTCAATAACCCTATAATTAGTCCTTATTTATTGCAAGTAAAGAAGTTGTTGTTCATGAGCTTTGGTCTTAATATACTCTCCTCAATATGTCTAAATAACTCAAAATTAGGTATTTCTATCTAAGAATATATGTTCCCTATTTTAAAGTGAAGTCTTGTTCATAACCAATAAGCTAGTAGTTTGACTCTAATTGACCTGAACAGGTTCCCTATTCTAAAGTTGCCTCCTCTTCACACTTTGTAAATACATTATAGCACACAACTACTGAAATTAACCTCAACAGTACATGAACAAAGTAGGCTTACGTTGAAATATCTGTTTAATTAATGAACCACTAAAGAGAGGTTCAGACACATCCCAAAACATGTCAAGTTTCTCCAAGGCTGAGAACACATATGCAGCCTGTACTTTTTAATAAAACTGATTTTGACCAGAGTTTATGTATTTGTGATCATACTGTGTGACCGGCTTGTATGTACTTACACAATAGGTGTACTGTTCTCTCTATGTGTTGTACTGTCTCAGTGTGAACATAGATTAAACAGCCAGCCAAACTCTTTTGAGAGCCAGGGAATGCGCAGCCATGCTCCTTTATTGACTTATTTGCAGTCCACTGACATTCAAATGGAGTGAAACTATAAAAAAAGAAGTTACAAGGCACTTAATGATCGGTGGCGGGGGTTGTGTCTACAGAAGGTCCAGTTGTGATAGACACGGTTCGCCACTGCAATCAATATAACAGTCACTTCAAAATCTTTGGGAAATGTACATTAATGTAAGATTGTCCATAGCAGCATAAAAAGTGTCTGGTGCTGGATTTGAGTGTGTGCTGGGTGTCAATATGGAAACATTTTATATCACATTATTTTTGATTAAATTCCATAAAGATTACATATTGATATTTTGACGATAAAGTGTTGAGCCTTTTGTGCATTAAAAAAAATTGAATAATTGTTGACAAATGTGTAATGACTAGGAGGATAAAGGCAATCCATAGAGCAGCTAGAACAGTATGGTCACAATATTGATATAATATTGACATTGTGGGTCAAGCGCCCTCCTCAGTAAGAAATCTACATTTCCACTCATTGCATGCTGGGACATTCACCGTGACACCACAAGGCTGATCATTTAATGAGAGGCAATCTATATGTTTCATTATCAACTGCAGCAAAGTGACAGCAATAATATGTAAACATCACTTCAGGCACATTTGGTAGTCTAGCAAAAGTATATGGGGGGAGTCCATGTATAAATGATCACATGTAGAGTTTGTGCTTCACACAACCTTGACAAAAGGTCAAATGAGTGTACATTTTCAATGTAAATCCACAGCTTTGTCTTAAATGTCCCATGTCATGCTTTTCTGGTTAGTAGTACCCGTCCCCTTGTGTGTTATGAAGGTTTTTATGCATGTAAACGGTGTGCAGAGTCAAAACCCTCAAAGTACACCCTGTAGCGAGTAAAACTCTAAAACAGAAAATACCTCCCCAAACCGCCTCGTTGGAGATACGTCATTGTCCATTTGATTCTTCCGGGTACGCATGATGTCAACCGTACCCTGAACGAAATGGACCAATCCGTGGAGCCGTTACGTTACGTCCGCGGAGACGTTACGTTAAGCCCCCGCTGATTGGTCCAAATTGACCAATCCACGGACTTCCTCACACACACACTCAGTGCAAGCAGCTCTGCTGATTTCTCCTCCCTGGCTGCAGGCTGATAACAGACAGTTGGGATCGCGGCAAAATTCTCTCTGCAGACCAGGGGCGTCGCCTGGACCTGGAAACATTCGGGGCTTAGCCCACAGTGGCGGCGCTACAGTCAAATGTTCTACTGCAAGACTCCCCACACGCACATACACAATTGCGCCATCTGGTGTCACAAACGTGTGCCTGCATTAGCTTTGTTACGGCAATGGATTGTGGGAGACTCTCATAGCACGTGAGGATCTCTTGAGGGTAAGGTGCCTGTATTATCTCGGTGGACAAAATGTATGTTTTTATTTTATAAGGACAATAACGTACTGTTGTGTTTGTTTAGTTTAATGTTAATTGTTTAATGCTCACGCAGTCACAGCAACATGTTTTTTGTGTGATTGGCTATTTGTTTTATATGATTTATCAACGTGATCATCAATAGCTAATCTGAGCACCAGAACCCAGCTCACGAGTCCTTTTATGCTGTCCATTGAAATGCAGGTATGTGAGTTTTGTACACCAGTTTATTTATGTTTAATGTTTCACATTGCTCCACATGATGCCTTGACTACAAAGTCTTCCATGTTTCTACGCTTCTTCCTCTGTGTCACAGTTTCGGCAATATCAAGATCATTGCACAGGGCCTTGGTCTTGTCATAGACCTCATGTGCTTTCTCGTTACTTTGGTAACTTTTCAGTGTGTTCTCAACTGCTGTTTTGTAATCTACTGCCTGCACCAAGTCAATTGTTTCTTTCTGCAGGTATTCAAGCAGGCCCTGAGTGGTTGAGAGCAGTGTCTGGAACATGACAGCATGTAGATGGTACTGCATTTTCAAAGCTTGCTTTCCAGTCCCTTTACTAGAGGGGCTGAAAGGCTCCCTAAAGTCTTGATCAAAGCAGGGAGGTTTTTGACATGCCCAGCGAACAAGTTGTTTGTCCCCTACCTCTAGCTGTTTCTGAAATGTTTGCAATCTCTGATGGTGGAAAGAGATGTGGAGAAGAAAG